GCGGCCCCCCCCTGCCAATGCAGGGTTCAAGCCCTGGTCCAGGAAGATCCTGCGTGCCGTGGAACAACTGGGCCCGTGCGCCACGACTGCTGAGCCTGCCCTCTGGAGCCCGTGAGCCACAACTGCTGAGCCTGCCCTCTGGAGCCCGTGAGCCACAACTGCTGAGCCTGCGTGCTAAAACTGCTGAGGCCTCCACGCCTGGAGCCCGTGCTCTGCGACGGAAGAGCCTACCACGTTGAGAAGCCCACGCACTGCAGCAAGGAGTGGCCCCCACTCGCTGCAACTAGAGAGAGCCTGCGCGCAGCAACGAAGACCCAACAGATCCAAAAATAAATAAATAAAATAAGTAAATTTAAAACATTTTTTAAAAGTTCAATAAATCTGAGCTATTATTAATATTCATAATAAACTGTGACAAAAGTAGAGTTGTATAATTACTAGCCTACCAAAGAGATGTGAGAACCCTATCTAGATTCCAAGACCCAAGTAGGGGGAAAATAAGGATGTTATAAACAGGTATCCTTCTATCCCAAAATTAAGGTTTTAGAACCACTGTATCAATATAAAACTCACCTCAGATGCCATGGGTCTCTTGATTCCAGATGCTGTGGGAAAAAAAAACAAAACAAACACAACCATAAGTGCATACACACACTCACACGATCTCTATCAAGCCCACTGAAACAATCAGGATTTGAGTTACACTAAACCTGACAATGAGCTCTTGCCTCTTGCTCATTGATAACAGATCCTTTTGGATAGGGATTTTAAACATCCCTTCTTTTTCCTCCTCCATACTCACAGAGCCCTTATGCATATTCCATTCTCATTCTAGTCCTTTTTCTTACACAAGTGTTCATATTTTCTCTAGGAAATATATCTGTTCTTGATACATTTAACCATCAGAGCCAGAGGGTCTCATTTGATACCATGGCTGAAAGAGAAAGGGCATAAGAGATACCAAGACTTATTGGACAACCTGGGCTTGATTAATAATTTTTCCTGTAGAGTTAAAAGGGTAGGTACTCTTAGAGCATATCTATGGTGCTTTACACTTCTACTAATTATTTCAGAAAAAAGGTAAAGAGTTGGTCTATGGAAGCTTTATTTACAGTAGCCAAGATATGGAAGCAACCTAAGTGTCCATCAACAATGAATGGATAAAGAAGCTGTGGTGTGTCTGTGTATGTGTGTGTATACATATACATATTTATGCAAATGGAACATTACTCAGTCATAGAAAAGAATGAAATTCTGCCATTTGCAACAACGTGGATGTCTCTAGAGGTTATTATGCTTAGTGAAATAAATCAGAGAAAAACAAATACTCTATGTTATCATTTATATGTGAAATCTAAAAAATAAAACAGATGAATGTGTATAACAAAACAGAAACAGACTCACAGATATAGAAAACTAGTGGTTACCAGTGGGGAGGGAAAAGGGGGGAGGGACAAGCTAAGGGTAGGGGATTAAGAGACACAAACTACTATGTATAAAATAAATAAGCAACAAGGATATATTGTATGGCACAGTGAAATATAGCCATTATTGTGTAATAATTTTAAATGGAGTATTATCTATAAAACTATTGAATAATTACATTGTACATCTAAAACAAATATATTATTATAAATCAACTATTCTTCAATTAAAAAAAAAAGAGTTGATCTATGGAGATGAGGAGGCTAAGGATGGGATAATGCAATGTCAAAAAAATGGAAGAGGGCTTCCCTGGTGGTGCACTGGTTGAGAGTCCGCCTGCCGATGCAGGGGACACGGGTTCGTGCCCCGGTCTGGGAAGATCCCACATGCCGCACAGTGGCTAGGCCTGTGAGCCATGGCCGCTGAGCCTGCGCATCCGGAGCCTGTGCTCTGCAACAGGAAAGGCCACATTAGTGAGAGGCCCGCGTATGGCTAAAAAAAAAAAAAAAAAGGAAGAGCACAGAGTGCAGGCAGAACCTGATTCTACATCCTTCCATCCTCATCTTGATTTCTGCTGTAAAAGCAACAGGAATTTGTTGGTGTGTACTTACTAAATATATAACCAGTGGAGATGTGTAAGATAAGTGTGTAGTTAAATCTCATCAATATTATGACTTTTATCCACTTAAATGTAGAAAAAGATTTCAATAATATGTTTAGAAAGTGACGAAAAGACCATTATCTATAGAAAAATACTCTAAAAGGTTAAATCAATTCTTAAGGGTCTGCGATCCCTATAACTTTCATCCATGATCACACTGGAAACAGGGAGATAGAACTTTCTCCCCTTTATATTGAAGAATGTTGGCCTTTTTTCTTCAAAGACTACTGATATATTACTTTGATGTAGTTCTAAAGAATTCAAAATGAATAAAGATTAGCCATATTAAAGAAAATTAAAAAGAAGAATCCAATTCGGACGAATCCTCAATAATATAATACCTGAGTAGGAAGACCCCAGTTCTGGTCCATATATAAGGTTTAATGGTAAAACAGCAGCAGAGACAAGATGGGCTTAAGGGCAATCAGGTAAAGCTCTAATTACTATTGTTTAAGACCAATGATCAAGGGCCCTAAGAATTTCAGAATATAGCTGGGCTCAGAGGAGAGATTGTGGTAGGCCACAGACTAAGCATTTCTGGTACCAATAAGCAGAGCAGCAAATTTCCTTCCCCATAGTGAGTCAGAGTAGCAAAACTATGGGGAACAGATGGTTTTCATTCCTCTTCCCAAAAAAGGAGGTAAGGGAAATGTCATCTAGCTGTTAGGAAGATGTGCTGCATAAAATGGCCCAGAAAATTAGAAAAACAGCAGATCCCAATAATCTATGCTTTTTGCAGGATGCTTCATCTTCAGTCAGGTCAAGTTCAGGTAGGTGAAAGACCATTTTAGAACTGGAACCCTAAGCTAAAGCTTCCAAGGAACAATAAGCCAGGACGAGTCAGATTTATGATAAAACTGTTACTGACTTAAAACCTTTTAGACAAGAGCCAACATGCTGAGCTATTTAAAAATCAGAAGACCTGTTACATCAGGTAAACTGTTCTCTATATTTAACTAAAAACAGAAGAACCATATTAGGAGGTGTATGTAAAGATTAGATAAGACAAACTAAATCAGGGACTTCCCTGGTGGTCCAGTGGTTAAGAATCCGTCTTGCAGGGCTTCCCTGGTGGTGCAGAGGTTGAGAGTCCGCCTGCCGATGCAGGGGACATGGGTTCATGCCCCGGTCCGGGAAGATCCCACACGCTGCAGAGCAGCTGGGCCCGTGAGCCATGGCCACTGAGCCTGTGCTCCACAACGGGAGAGGCCACAACAGTGAGAGGCCTGGGTGCCGCCATAAAAAAAAAAAAAAAAAAAAAAAGAATCCGTCTTGCAATGCAGGGATGCTGGTTCAATCCCTGGTCAAGGAACTAAGATCCCACATGCCGTGGGGCAACTAAGCCTGTGTGCTGCGACTACTGAGCCCGCACGCTCTGGAGCCAGGGTGCCACAACTAGAGAGAAGCCTGCGCACTGCAATGAAAGATCCTGTGTGCCGCAACTAAGACCCACCCAACACAGCCCAAAAAAGGATAAACTAAATCAAAGTACTTCATGGACTGCGACGTGGTATACAAATATGTTGTCATATGTGAAATTTTTTTTTTTTAAAGAGACCACAGATGGTGCAAGATGGTTCCTTTTTTTTTTTTAATTTTTTTAAAATTTATTTTATTTATTTAGGCTGTGTTGGGTCTTTGTTACTGCGTGCAGGCTTTCTCTCATTGCAGCGAGCAGAGGCTACTCTTCGTCGCGGTGTACATGCTTCTCTTTGTGGTGGCTTCCCGTGTTGCGGAGCACAGGCTCTAGGCATGCAGGCTTCAGCAGTTGTGGCACACAGGCTCAGTAGTTGTAGCTTGCGGGCTCTAGAGCACAGGCGCAGCAGTTGTGGCACACAGGCTTAGTTGCTCCGCAGCATATGGGATCTTCCTGGACCAGGGATCGAACACGTGGCCCCTGCACTGGCGGGCAGATTCTTAACCACTGCGTCACTGCGCCCATATGTGATTTCTAATGCAAGAGTAAAGCTGGGCCCCCAGGAAGGTTTAATGTTCAATTACCTAGACCTATATGAAATTCTAATTAGCACCTCAAAGTTTTTGGCTCCTCCCCAAACCCTCAGCCTCCACCTCCCCCCCAACATAACCTTGTGCAAGTGTACAGGCAACTGTAGAATTAGTAAGTCTCAATAAGGAAATCAGTATGCTTTCAGTTGAGAAGACAACACTGATTCCGGACTCCTTGGTCAGTACCTGGCTTACCCCTTCCTCTTTTACCCCAGAGGAAGGGGTTTGGAGGGAGCTGGCAGAACCAAGAGCCAACATCCAGTCCTAGGCTGACAGTCTCTCCTAGAACACAACCTCTTCTGCATGCAGGGAGTCAATGGACCAAGTTAAACAATGGAGAAAAAAAAGCAGGTAAGTGATTTTCAAGGCAGAGAATAGGTCTGGGGCTTGCTTTTTTTTTTTTTGCGGTACGCGGGCCTCTCACTGTTGCGGCCTCTCCCGTTGTGGAGCACAGGCTCCGGACGCACAGGCTCAGTGGCCATGGCTCACAGGCCCAGCCGCTCCACGGCATGTGGGATCTTCCCGGACCGGGACACGAACCTGCGTCCGCTGCATCGGTAGGCAGACTCTCAACCAATGCGCCACCAGGGAAGCCCGGTCTGGGGCTTTCTTACTCTCTAAAAAGTTCTACTTTGCTACCTTTCCTAGTTTTATCACACAAACACATAGCTCCAGGGCTGCTACACCCTTACAAAGTACCCAGAATGAGGGTGGGAGGACTTCACTCAGTGGAATATGGTGCTAATTACTTAGCTATCTGCAACTGCAAAGCTTGGATTAATCCCAAGAACACTATAGCTGAAGCAGTTGGATGGATACTGGGGTCTAAATAATAATCAGAACAAGTAACACAGGGAGGAGAATTGGGACCCAAGACTTACTCTCTTCCTTGTCTGAAGTTTTGCCCCTAGGGCATAGGTCAGAGCTCCAACCTCCCAAAGAAGAATGGACAGGAATAGAAAAATATCTGGAGAATTTTATCAATGTTGCTGTAACACCCAGCTTGGTCCAGAAGAAACCCAATGAAGAGCAGAGTGATATTTCAGGGAACCAGGTACCATCTGCTAAGGCTTGACCATTTGGCCCAAGGCTCTGCCAATGAGAAACTGCCTACTGAGACTGAAGAGTCACCAGCACTGTACCTGTTCATCTCATAATCGAGCTTTCTCTTCAGAAGGAAGAGGAGGAGCAGAAACAGAGGAAGAGGGGGGAGGTGGACGGAGGGGGGAGGAGAAGTGAGGGAAAAAAAGAGAGAAAAGAAAAGAATACCAACTCAGCATGGCAACACCCGGCTTAGCAATGCCATCCAGCCAATGTTTAAGGAGAACGAGATTCATCCTTATGGATAAGACTAGAATGTTATTCAACAGAAAGTTTGTTTTCTAGCATCTGTGTGAAAAATGATCTCTGATAAGTATATACTATCATCTTATAATCCCCATATCCACGATCCATATGTATCATCCTCTTTTTGGGTGGGGAAACTGAGTATAGGGCAGAGTTCCAATGTTA